CCCACCCCCCCCCCCCCCCCCAAGACATGCATTTGTCTCCATTTTAGTTGCTAATACAGAGTAGAGCAGGTCCTCCTCCAGCTTTCCTGCAAGCCATGTCTCCCCAGAGATGAAGGCATCAAGTCAGTACCCTGAAGGAAGGACGTTCATTTGACTTGTTTTTAGAGACAGGTTCATGCCATGCAGGTTCAGGCTATCTATATGCAATACTACAACTTACAGGCTTAAGTCTATGAGCAATAAGAGGGACACATACATCATATATACTGGGGCAAGTTTTAAATACTTTCGGCTTATGAACCTTACCATCAGCAGGCCCAAAGAATATTTGGGGAACACTCCAGCTCTATCATTTCAGGGGTCCTGAAGCTTCTTTTGCTTTCTTCTGGGATGTCTACAGCTTCTCACACCTCCTCAGATACCTCCCGCACAAAGCGCACAGTGCCAGTAGAAAAATATCTGGAGAATCTTCTCAGCTAAAGGGGTAAGAAAGGAACTGTGAGCGGACACAAGACAATTATTCTAGAATACCTTTATTTTAGCCCAAAATAGTAATGATACAGGACACCCAGCAAATCCCACCTCCAGGCAGAATTCATCCCAGTTAAACTCAAAAGGTTGGCCACGTGTATTATAGCTCCATATATTGCAGTTCAATACCCTCGAAAAATAAACTGAGGTTCTTGAAAGAACTAGACAAAAAGCTGCTGAGATAAAAGGTTTTCTTTTAATAGCTCAAGGATTTTTCCCTGCTAGGACTGAGATGTCCTTGCCTGCAGAGGAAGCTCTCTCTCAGGGTCTTCCCCACAACTGTGAAGAACATAGCACAGCACCATAGCATCCCTAAGCCAAAGAAGCTTGTTTCATCTGCATAAGGGATGGTGTCATTTTCTCTGCCTCCTTGGTATGCTGGCCCAAGGGCACTTTTGAACACTGGTGACATCCGCAAACTGCTGGGCTTTTTTTTTTTTTTTTTTTAAAAAACAGATAAACACTGGAGTAGAAAAGAGGAATTGAGGTCCAGACCCTCTGCTGGCATGAATCTGCACAGCTCCCTCAGGCCTAGTAAAGTTCATCCAGCTAAAGACTCTGCCCTATCTATATATTGTTTTATTCCTCAAAGCAGGAAGTAAAGCTGCTATCGCAGAAATACTTTCAGGGTTGCCTTACTGAAGCAACTTGTTCGTCATGGCAGCACAACATTTGTTCACTGCAACCCCCAACAAATCATAACACAACAGAATGTCTATAATTCTTGACGGAAGCTTTCTGAGTTTCCACTGCATCCAATCAGCACCCATAAAAAAAGGGGGGGGGATGCCAATTTCCCTGCTGGGGCAAATGAGTACACTTCCACTGAAATTAAAGCTCTTCAGCCCACTTAAACAAGCTGAGAATTTGAATTTGTTCCTGCTCACAACCATTTTTAGATTCAGAATTCCTGCAGGAGGAGTAACAATTAAACAGTTATCTCCTAAAACAGCTTTCATGCAAAGGTCTCCAGTCCTTGAAAAAGCGGATCTCTCTCATTACCCATGAGTTTTAGTTGAGGCAAAGGAAGAAATGACTTACCCAAGTCTCTTAACTAAACAGCCAAACAAGGATACACCCAAGCCCGGGAGACCAGGTTTTGAAGTGCCTGTTTCACAACTATGTCTAATCAAACATCGTTTCAAACAAAGAGGAACTTTAAAATGAGGAACCTTTTTTAAAATAATTGCTCAAACCACAGCTACCACATTGAGACATGTTTCTGAGCTTTTAAAAAGGCTGCTTTCAACATTCCTAATATTCATTGTTTAAACCATGACTTTACTGAATTTTTTTTTTTCCCCCCTTTGTAGCTGAATATGTCCTGTATCTAGAGGGTAATTTTGGCTTTAATCTGCACTAAACACTAGAATGTGGGGCAATTGAAGCATTTGATGGTGATTATAACAAGTAGCCCATGAAAGGTAATTTTAAAAAAGTTAATGAGTTCTCATTAAGAAGGGATAGACATGTACTGTAATGAAAAATGTTTGCATAAAGAATGTAACTTCCTAGCTTTTTATTTTACTTTATAAGGAATCTATAAAACTTTTTAATATGCCTTCAATTAAATCAACGGTTTAGACAAGGCTTGCGTTTTATTTTCATTATTGCTTTGCCATAGTAGTACACAGAAATCTAGTTTTCTAAGGAAAGCAACTGATACATCAATTAATCAGTCTCTTTTACCACCCTATTCTCTACTGAATGTCCAGGGCTTCAACTTTTTTCCCCCCCCTTAATTAAGGGAACTCAGCAACAAAGTGATTTAGTGATAATGAATCCTGCCATTTCTGTAGCTATGTGGTCACTGTTAGCCACTATTTGAATATATCAACATAAATAGACCCCTTCAGTGACTAAACAAAGTTATAGTAGCAATAAACTAAGCCTGCCATGTACACTTGGTTAAACCTTTAGCCAACATAAATACAAGGCAGCCTTTTACTGTGATTTGTTTGGTACAATGACATCATACATTTCCAAGTAGAACATCATGACCACAGCCAAAAAGCTAACACAAATCCCTTATGTGAATCAAATTGCAACCATCTAGAGTTCATGGCAATGACTGTTCAGTTTCTGACTTCTCTGCCCTCATGTGACCACATTATAAAATAACCTATATATTGATCTCAATTTCGCATTTTCTGCATGATTACATTTTGGCAAGGGGACTCCCTCAGTCTTCTCCCTCTGCAGGAATGTTTTGAAAGTTACTGAAAAGTCAGAATTTGCCAGCTCAGAGCCAAATCCAACCTTCCTCTGCTGAAGCGAATCCTCTAGGAGGAACAAAGGCTACAAAGAGCTGCATCTGGAAGTGGACAAAAACAGCCAGCAAGGCAAAAGCAGACACAGAGTCCCAAGTGGAGGCTGTACTAACTAGAGCTAAAGCTAGCTAAAGTTGATGAAGGGGGGCCATGTATGCTTGGGTAACAAAACATGGCG